AACTTCCATTTATGTTCGAAAGGAATGTTCCGTTTCTCTTTCCAACCGATGTGGGATTTCACAATCCACTTACTTCGGGGCTCAGCATCCTTGTTGGCATTTGTTCCTCTCTCCCACTAATGTGGGATCTCACAATTCACTCCTCTTCAGGCTCAGCGTCCTTGTTGGTACTCGTTTTTCTTTCCAATCAATGTGGGATTTCACAATCCATCCGCCTTCGAGCCTCAGCGTTCTCGCTAGCACTCGTTCCTCTCTCCTATCAATGTGAGATTTCACTGTAAAGGTTTAGGTAGCTAAACTCCTCCTAGTTTATATCAAATATGGCCTACTGGACCCAAGGTTTCTAATCGGAGACTTGAGGCTATCTAAACCACCCTAAGACTCAAGGTATTACTGCGAGTTGAGTCAACGTGACTGCTGTCAATTAAGTTTCATTCTTACAATAAAGGTGTCTGAATTTTGCAGTGCACTTGGATCACGAGGAAAACGCATGGCAGTTAGGACGCTAGACACTAATGCATCCTTTTGTCAATGTGGCAACGTCTTCTTTAGGTCAGTGTCTTTTTTCTACTCTTATTGATGCTTTTGATCTGAATCATTCTCCCATCGTTTCAATTTTTTCTATAAAGAAATATATAAATCAAAATTATCTGATTTTTCTTTTCCAATCTTATTTTATATTTTATTATTTTCCTTTTCTTTTATGGACTAAATTCTTGAACAATAGACCATGCTCAGTTTGATAACTTTTAGTCGAACATAATGTCTCATAATCCTTGCTTATCTAGTAGTTGATAACCCTTGTGAGTTTGAATCTATCTATTCCACCGTTTGTTTGAAAAGAAACTCCTTTTATAATAATCCAAGCCCACCGCTAACAGAAATTGTCCACTTTGGTTCGTTACGTATCGTCATCAGTCTCATGATTCTAGAACGTGTTTGTTAAACCTTGAAGGGAAGACCGAAAAAAAAAATCAAAATAGGATAATATCTGCTAGCGATGGACTTGGACCGGTGTAACTTGTAATCTTTTTATCATTCCTAATCTTTTTATCCCTTCTTTTCCTCCAATTTTGACCATATATCTTTTCTGCTTATCTCAAGCACTTTCTGAGCTGGAGATTTGATCCAAAAAGCCCTTTGCTTTTATTCTATTCCCTCTAGTTTATATTTACTGATATTTTTTAACTTAAATTTCTTTCAGTAAACTGGTAAGATATTGTCTTCACCGTTCTAAAAAAAGCATAGGTTAGTGAGAAGTTTTCACACTTTAAGATAAATGTTTCGTTCTATTCTCGGACCAACGTAGAATTTTCGATGTGATATCTTACCATCATACAACTCACCGTTGTACTGCACTCTCTAAGTGTGCTTGTTCCCCCTTCTTCCTTACCATATCAAGTCTTTGTGAAATAACTCCGATGAGAAGAAAAAAGAAGGCGTTAAGAAACCCTCCTAGCCCCACCCTAGACACTCTAAGATCCTTTTTCAAATCTCCTAGTCCCTGCGGAAGAAAGGAAAAAGAATTTCACATTCTTAGGGAAGGGAGGATTAAGAAAATCCTATTGATTGGAGCTTTCTCCGGACATCCAGGAAAAACATGAAAAAAAAGGCTCGAGTGGTACGATCCCTCCGCCACCCCAGAATGAAAGAGGCGATCTCGTAGTTCTTGGTCTGTGAAGATACATTGATAGGTGCCTCGTTCTATTTTTCCATTGAGGCCGAACCTAAACCTGTGCTCGAGAGGTAGTTGTCCATATACTAATAAGGGATGTATGAATTCTCGAGAAAAGAGGAGCCGAGGTGGTCCCCGGACCGCCCAGATATATATATATATATATATATATATATTATCCACTTTTGATCTGATTCCAAAATTTCTCCAAATCTTCTCATAAGATTTAGTTCTTGTACAGAAGGGAAGGGAGCATGAAGAATCCATCAAAAAAGGGGGAAAAAAATAAAAGAAAAAAACAATAATAATACAAAGTTGTACATCTTTTTGGATTATTCCTGCATATCCACGTCCATAACCCCTAAAACTCTAACCAATATATGTAAATTTATGGACCTTTTTATCCATTTTTACTACAATAGTGTGGCTGAGTAGACTTCTATAGCAGCCATGAGCCTCCTCATTAGCTATCCATGTTCCTCCGACCCGGTTGGATCAATTTGAGACATTAACACAGGTCGAGTAATTTTTTTAATTCAAACCATCTAACTTAATCATAAAATATTAGGTTGGGTTGGGATGTGTTCGTTCAATTGCAACCCTTCTTTGTTAGGCTCCTAGCAGCCATGAGCCTCCTCATTGGCCATCCATGCTCCATGAGCCTCCTCATTGGCCATCCATGCTCCTCCGACGGGGCTGGATCAGTATGAGACATATTAATAGAGGTCCGAACGTGTTCGTTTGAGACATTAACTGGGTTGGATCAGTTTGAGACATATTAACGGGATATAGTTGGATTGAATTGGTCTGGTTTTTTTTTTTTTTTTTTTAATTTATCTATTTTGTTAATATTTTATAATATTCACAAATTTATTGAATAATTTGGTAAATTTATGTTTTTTAATGTTAAATATGTGAACCAAATTAAAAATTTAGTAATAAAATGAAAGGAATATAGACGTGGCAAAGAGGGCTCCCACCCAATTCCGGAATGCACAATTCTCCCAAACACTTATCCAAAAACAAAAATCTTTATTTATTTATTTATTTATTTTAATTATTAGTATATTTACTTATTGTACACGTCAATATTTTTTCGACCTCCATGTCGACAAGTGACTTACTAAACATAGACACATCACTCCTCGCGTCAGTTCAAATCAGGACTGTCGAAATTGAATTCCCTTGACCAGGTTTTAGACGACGCATCATTCCCTACGCGTCAGTTTAAATCAGGACCGTCTAAATGGAATCTCCTTGATCAGGTCTTGGACGACGCATCATTTCCTACGCGTCAGTTTAAATCAGGACCGTCAAAATCGAATCCCTTTGACCAGGTCTTGGGCTTCTGGAATCATACACGCTTCGAAATCACCGACAATTTCGAATTTTAAAAAAAAAATAGAAAAGAAAAAGGAAATTACAACTGTAATCCATTTTACTTGGTCACTTCTCTCTCTTTCTCTCAGCCGCCGTCGGATTAAATCTTGGCTGATTGTGCATAGATTCCCTCTCTTTGGCCAAAGCTATTTTTGTTTTTCTTGTTTCCTATTAATTATTTTTATTTTATTCTCTCAATATTATTTGATAAAACAAAATTTCTATGTCTAATAAATACGTAATGTATTTATTTTTTAATAAATATTTATACACGTATCAAAAAAATAAACGAAAATAATTAATTTTAAAAAAGGTTGAATTAAAAGTTGAAGGAATTAACACTTATAAACATTAAATTAAAAATTTATAGGCTTAATTAATATATTTTTTAAAAAAAAAAATTAACCCTCGAATGACCCCTTATAAATTTCATTAGTGGGTGATTTCATTTTTTTTATTTTCAATTACAGAAATAAAATAAAAAAATATAAACAAAACAAAAAAAAGATAATATACATGTATTTATATAAAATATTTTTGAAATTCTTATTTTAAAATATAAACTTTTGTTTAATAAAGAAAAACAATTGTACTATTTATCCTTCAGAAAATAAAATAAAATAAAATAAATAAAAAATTTTATGAAAAATTATATTATTTTTATAATTTTAAAAATTGTATTAAATCATGTATGGCAGGAAAAATACAGCTAAAAAGGTATAAAAGAAATTTTTTTTATTTTTTATTTTTTTTATTTTAAAGGGTAAGAGTGAAAGTGCACTATTCATGGGTAGAAGCCTACTTTTACGTACAAACTATTTACGATAGCGACACCCTAAACTCCACAGAGTCGTTTTCATTCATTGAGAAGCGCGAGTTGGGAAGCCTCTGGAAACCACGCCCTCGCAGTTGCTATAAATACTGCTTCGATTTGAATTGCACCACATACCTTCCGATTCTCGTATTTCTCGTGTATTTCTCATCTCAGTCTCGATTCTAGCGAGTTTCTGACTGTGTTGGGTCTCTTTTGTTGCTGTTTTTGGGATTCAGGTGGCCGCCGCAAGCTTTTGTATTTGCTGATTGAAGGAAGTTCGTTTTTCTATTAAGAAAGTTTTTTGTAGTTCATATTGTTTGTTTTCTGATCATCTTTTTGTGGTACGGTTGGATCGTAGTTTGATTATGTTGTGTTTTGTTAGGCAATGTGATTTGCATGTGCCTTTGGATTGATTTTTTTTTGTTTGGATGCTTTGATGATTTTGGTTCGAAAAATGAATGTGATTTGGGATCTTATATCTCCTGGTTCTCGTTTCATCTGCAACTACAATCGTGGAGGTATATGGTCCCAAATTTTTTATGATTTTTTTTCATTCCCTTTCGATTAAAGAAGTTGAAATTCTTGTTGCATGTTTTCTTTTCGATGCGTACTGGGTCTGAGAAATGTTCGTTCCATAGGCTTATCTTAGATTTCTTTTGCAGTCATACTAGATATTGTTTTAGTTGTTTGATTTGATTATGTACCGTGATTTGGTGAAATTTTTAAATCTCTTTAATACATTTTGATTGTATTGAAATGCTTGTAGGTTAGGATTTGGTTTTTAGAAATTAGGAGCCAGATGTCGGTTGAAGTTCCCCTTACCTTATGCAGTAGAGAAGGCTTTGTCCTCTGTTTTCAAAAGGGTAGAACAGAGTAATGCAAATTAATGAATGTTATATCCTTGGCCTCTATTTGTCTTCTATTTTAAGGGTGGTGTTGGATGTTGGATTCTTGTCGGCAGCCTTGTCGGCAGCCCTTACTAAATCTTGATGTTGGAGTATGGGCAGAATCTTTGGAGTTCTTTGCTTCTTCAACATGTTTCAGATGAAATCTTCTGATGATTTCCAGACCATCAGCGTAACGGCCCAGATTCATGGCTAGTAGATATTGTCTTTTTGGGCTTTCCCTTTTGAGCTTCCCCTCAAGATTTTAAAATGCGTTTGCGAGGGGAAGGTTCCACACCCTTATAAATTGTGGTGTATTCTCGTCCCCTACCAATATGGGACATCACGCTGTGCATGTGCATGTAGTTGTGCAACAAATCAAGTGATCATGATGTGCAATTGGTCACAATATTCAAAGCTGGAGGCTCTGGAGTTCCCCCAGTGCTGCGTTGTAGTGTGTGTTATTATATGGGTTTCTTATAACCCTTTCTTTTTTGGATGAACTGAATTCCTCTCATGGAGGAGTTATGATGATTGGAGCTGTACAACATTTATTGGATTCTTTGTTGCTGATGTGCTGTGGTGTGCTGCTGTATACAAGAAACCAACAATGTCATGGCCTGTTTGACGGGTGATTAACATGCCTTTTCTGCCTTCAGAACCATTGCTAATGTCCTTCCTACATGCAGGTGCTGCTCTAAGTTACTATCCAGATTCAACCATTGTCCATGGCAGAGCTCGCAGCTGACTCCCAGGAGTTGTTGGAGAGGGGATATATGCAATATGGGCAAGTCCATTAACAATTAGCGTTGTTCTAACTCTGTTTCAAGTCTTGTCTGTTCATTTGCTGAACACAGATGGTGTCATTTTGCAGATGTGCACACTATAAGCGAAGGTGTCGCATCCGAGCTCCTTGTTGTAATGAAATCTTTGATTGCCGCCATTGCCACAATGAAATAAAGGCAAGGAACTTCATTTTGAACTGCTGGCATTCTAAACCACTTATAACCTTACTTATTCCCTCTTGCAGAATAGTATTCATCTTGATCAGAAGGAAAGACACGAGATCCCGCGCCATGAAGTCGACCAGGTAAATCGACCCACTGGTTACTTTGTTAGATGAACACGACTCTCCACAATGGTATGATATTGTTCACTTTGAGCATAAGCTCTCGTACCAATGGAGATAGTATTCCTCACTTATAAACCCATAATCATTCTCTAAACTAGCCAACGTGGGACTCACTCCCAATAATCCTCAACAATCCTCCCCTCGAACAAAGTACACTATATAAGCCTCCCCTTAATCGAGGCTCGACTCCTTTCTCTGGAGCCCTCGAACAAAGTACACCTTTTTTTCAACACTTTAGTCACTTTTGGCTATATCTTCGAGGCCCACAATTCTTTGTTCGACATTTGAGGATTCTATTGACATGGCTAAGTTTAGGGCATGACTCTAATACCATGTTAGGAATCACAACTCTCCACAATGGTATGATATTGTCCACTTTGAGCATAAGCTCTCATTGCTTGGCCTCATACCAATGGAGATAGTATTCCTCACTTATAAACCCATGATCTTCCACTAAATTAACCAATGTGGGACTCACTCCCAATAATCCTCAACATACTCATTATGCATCATTAAACCTATAAAGAACTTTCATGAAGTTGAGTTTCTCTTAATTTTTCTCAGGTTATATGCTCACTCTGTGGAGCTGAACAGGAGGTGGGTTCTTAATCGTACCGTTTCGATTTCGTAAAGATGATTTCGTAAAGATGAGTAATTCTTATGTTCATGGACTCTGTTGGTTCTGATTCAACAGGTTCGCCAAGAATGTATGAACTGTGGTGTGTGTTTTGGGAAATATTTCTGTGAGACTTGCAAGCTGTTTGATGATGATGTGAGTTCCATTTTGTGCACCAATTCACGTCTCGTTTTTGTATGCATCAATCTTAGTTTGTATTTATTTTGGTATACATTTTGTTTGTTGCAGACATCTAAGAAGCAGTATCACTGTAATGGCTGTGGAATTTGTAGGTACGATATCCTAATCCGTATACCTTCTCAAAGATTAGCGCTCCGTTCCCACGCTTACTCGATGGCTTTTGAACGTTTTGACAGAATCGGGGGGCGGGAGAAATTCTTCCACTGCCATAAGTGTGGTAAGTCATATGTGATTATCTGAATTCATCCTGCTATTGATGGTCACATGTGTGCTAATTTTTGTATAATATGTACTTTTTTCCATGAAGGTTGCTGCTATTCAGCTATTTTAAAAAATGGCCATCCCTGCATCGAAGGAGCAATGCACCATGACTGTCCTGTTTGCTTTGAGGTAAAGCTTCTGTGAATGTCCCACGTGGTTGGGGAGGAGAACAAACCACCGTTTATAAGGGTGTGGAAACCTTCCCCTAGCAGACGCGTCTTCCCCTCGAGGGAAAGCCCGCTATCTATTGTATACCCACACAAACTGATAATGCACATCTTTATCAAATGGCTTGCAGTATCTGTTTGATTCGACAAACGACGTATCGGTGATGCCGTGTGGACACACCATCCATCAAAGTTGCTTGAATGCGATGAGAGATCACTTTCAGTGAGTGCTTATACACAGTTCTTGTTTACTTATGATTATGGAACTTTGTTTCTGAATCAAATTGTGAGCCTGCCATAGATTTGCTTGTCCTCTCTGCTCCAAGTCCGTTTGTGATATGTCCAAGGTGTGGGAAAAATTTGACATGGAAATTGCAGCTACTCCAATTCCAGAGCCATACCAAAATAAAGTGGTAAAACTCCAAAACTTTGGATCTTCTTTCATTATAGAGCATATCAGCTGGAGCTATGTAGTGGTAGTTAATATGATATCCTAGCAGAAAGATTGTGTTCAAATTGCTATCTATTATGTCATTTTCTTCGCAAGTGATAGTTATGTGTGGAGTTTCTCAATCAAAATGATACCCCATTTGTTCATGTGCTGGTGGCCCCATCTCACTACTTTGACCCTACTGAAGTAGTACTACTTTGACCCTACTACATTTCGTCACGAAGTAGTGAGATAGTCGAAGTGTATACAAGTGGACCTAGTTAATCACGGGTTTACAATGTGTATATATTCATTGACTTTTTTGGTCACCTCGACTTAAAAACTTCTTATTTTGGACAGGTTTGGATTCTTTGCAACGATTGCGGGAAAACGTCGAAGGTGCAGTATCATGTTGTGGCTCAAAAATGCTTGAATTGCAGGTCCTACAACACCAGACTGATTGGCTAAGGATGTGGATATGAAGGCCACATCCCCATCGTCCTGCAACTCTGAAATGCTTCAAACCACTCGACGACAATGACGACGATGATGACGACGTTCTGCAGCCTCCTCGTTTGTTTATCTTCTTTATTTGGTTGATTTCTTGTAGTCCACCTCTGCCTTCTCCGTTCTTTTTGTTTGTTTCTCTTCTTTATTTGGTTGAGTTCTTGTAGTCTACTTCTGCCTTCTCCGTTCTATTTGTTGCTGTCTATATTGCTGTATTTGCCCCTTCGTTCGAAATAAGATGCGCGCATCGTAATCGTGTTAGTGAATTGCATTGCTTTAAAGTTCCCTTTTTCTTCTACTTGTCTTTAAGAACCTCAAAATTTTGGATGAGTCCCACATTGGTTAATTTAGTGGAAGATCATCGGTTTATAAGTGATGAATAATCTCTATTGGTATGAGGCCTTTTGGGAAAGGCCAAAGTAAAGCCGTGGATAATTGATTCATTCCTTCTTCAGCTAAAGTGGAATGATCGAAGTCTCCTTCAGGTTCAGTCGAAGAGATTGAAGCGAAGTCATCAATTAAACCATTCGCACGGTCTCCCGACCTCTTTTCCAAATGAACCGAACCTCGATACCACATTCAGAAAAGAGATATGACCATCTCTCTAGGTTGCCCCTTCTTTATCTCGTTCTATTCGTGCTTGATTGAAAAGACCCCGTCCCCTTAGCTCCTTTTAAGGGACATTCTTAGCTAGCTCTTTGATTGAACTCACTCTTTTACTCCCCTAACAGTAAATAAACAAGGGAAAAAGGGATTTGCTCCTGAACCTGCCTGCCCCTGCCTCTATGACCGGAACCTTTACAGAATGAAGAAGAAGAGAAGCGACTAAACCTGATTGAAGAAGGTAAAGCATATTCCTTCTTTCAGGAAGTAAATAGGCTGACTTGCCTTCTCTCCTGAACCTGCCCCTGCCCCTATTTATTTATTTACCTTAATGAATGACGGAACCCGATTGAACGAGCTTAGAGTGAAAGAAAGAAGGAAATGGAATTAATTACCGACGGGGGAATGGAGAGTCTCAACTCAAGAAGAATGAGACAGAACTCCGGCTCAATCACCTATCGGTTTCATTGCTTCGCTCCTCCTCCTATTTATTCTTTCATTCAATCCGGAACTGGAGAGTACAGAAAAGAGATAGTTCAACCTGCCCCTGAACCGGGTACGGTTTCGTGTCTTCGCCTCTTCTTAGGTCTCAGGGCTTCTAACCTGCCCCTCTCTCTATATTACCAGAAGTGATTGTGAGTTATTCTTTCACTGTAGTAAAGAAAGCATATTCAATGAATGAGAGTTGGAAGTCACGACGAAACCAGAATGAGAGAGATCAAGTCAAGACTGAAGTAGGCTAGTAGTCTTACCGCTTCTCTCCGGAACCTAACTCTTCTTGAACAGAAGGAAAGACTGAACCTCAAGCTAGCTAGCTACTTAACCCCAAAGCCAAAGATCGTAATTCTCGAACGAGCAATTGAAAAGATTCTGGAGTATCCTCAGGTTTAGGTATTGTTCCTCCAATGATCGTAGTACCAAGTACTTCTTGCCGAGCTCTAATATGATCAGATTTATAAGTAAGCATCTCTTGTAAAATATGAGCAACACCAAATCCTTCTAGAGCCCAAACCTCGTTCAAGAATAAATGGGTATAGGTTCAGGCAATGGAATTGTGAGACCGATAGCGAGAGGACACGATTACCTTGCGCATCGTGATCGATGTAGATTCTTTCTTCCTCTCCAGCTAGGAGCCCCGACCAGTCTTTCCTGAAAAGCTTTTAGACCCCTCCCTCTGTGTGAGCAAGTTCTGAGAAATTGGATTGAGTTTTCACTATTATTTGGATGTAATACCAGACCATATATGTATTACCATAACACGGCCGATTGAGCAAAAATGAGTGGATGGTTAGAAAGACCAAGATATAGAAAGGATTAGTCATGGACATTTTCCAAATTATCCAAAAGAGAGAGAAGGACATGCATAATATCAAAAGAATAGGAATGGGGGCTTTCAGTTTGTAGGAATTGTCTTTATATGATTTCCAATGAGATCATAAAATAAGAAGATTGGAAAGAATCCAGCGGAATGCTTAAAATGGAGTTCTCTCGAGAATGAACTCCGAGAAGGTAAAGTAGAAATTAGTATGATAAAATATCATAAAGTGGTCAAAATGAGCAAATATGTTCAATAAAAAAAAGATTAATTCTTCTTCTCCTTTTTTTTCTTACGACACGACAATCAAATCTAGATTTTGGGATTTTTCGAACAAAGCATCAATCGGCGGTTGAGTTTGGATTTTCATTTTAATTCAATTGAAGAGTAAGCCTATTTATTCCTGGTTCTAAGACCAATAGTTCCAGCGGTAGACGCCCTTCTTTCAAATTGTTTCTCATTATTAAGAAAAGGTAACAAAGATAAAATACGAGCTTGTTTTATAGCAATAGTAATTAAGCGTTGCTGTTTTAAGGTCAATCTATTTACCCGTCTAGATAATATTTTTCCTTGTTCACTAATAAATCGACTAATTAAACTCATGTTTCTATAATCAATTCGATCCCCCGATTGAATCGGGGGCAAACGCCTACGAAAAGATCGTTTGGATTTAAGAAGGAGTCTCTTGGATTTATCCATGGTTTGTTTATTCCTTATCCCGAAAATCCTATTTCGATCGGATCTAAAATAATTTAGAATTAAGAAATAGGATTTGGTTTGTTTATATTTAAATCTAAAATATGTTTAATATATGTAATTTTGCATCTTCCTTGGATTGGAAAAGGGTGACACACAGACGATTGGTTCGATCTATTTCTTTATCTCCCCATGAATCGTATGTTTGTAACAACGGGGACAGAATTTTCTCAATTCCAATCGACTAGGCGTATTGTGTCGATTCTTTTGAGTAATATATCTGGAAATCCCCACGGATTCCTTATTAACACCGTTTCGAACACAACGAGTACATTCCAAAATAACTGTTACTCGGGCATCTTTACCCTTGGCCATGAACCTCCCTTGTATTTTTGATTCACGCAACTCTTCTATTTTCCGATCCAAAATGAAGAAAAAAAGAGAAGTTGGTAACTCGAAATAAAATTATAAAAGATTTCGTTGCAATCAAATATAAAATATAGTAATACAATGATTTCTAAATTTAGAATCGCAGTACGGTTTTGCATTTAAGTATCTTGTATGATATTGTTG